TTGCATATTCTAGTTAGTTTAAAAGACAGAAATACACAAACTCTAACAACTTGAGGTGATCATATGCATTGAGACAGAAAACATTATTCTGATAGTCTGATGTATACGACCTTGAATATCAGTTTCTGACCACATATCAATCATACTTCCTTTCAAATGAATGTCAACATTCACACTTTGTCCCATTTATAAGAAAAAAAATTCTTTTACAAAGGTAAAGCACTTGCATAAATATATTAACTCCATATCAGAATTGTACCTAGAGCCATTTTGTTAAACCTTTTAAGACTCATTTGTGATGCATAGACATGGGTATCAGATCAGATATAAAAACAATGTGAACATGCCAATATATTCAATTTTGAATCAAGAAAAGTATAAAATATAGCATGGAAGTAAAAGATACTTCAAACACATAGCAACATATACTTCAATGGTACTTAACTAGCATGCAAACCGAAAAAATTTATTTCAACAAACAGAATTTAGAGAAATGTAAAATAACAAGGACTTCTGATAATTGATGTTAATGATTATCAATAGAAATGACATTAAACAGTTGTCCAATCATATATCCATCTTGCCTAAAATCAAGTTCTCCAAAAAGTATCGCAATGTATTCTAAAAGTATCCAACAATATTACTAATTTCTTCCAAAAACAGATACTCTGAGAAAGTGCCTCTACCTATCTAAGAAGTATCAAGTATCTCAGTTATGGCAAGCAATTTTAAGAATCTGTATTTCATAATTGTCATGAACCTCATGGAATACCTTTTATCACCCTTGTAAAATTAACAAAAAGGCTGCTCCAAATGCTTTATCACCTACGTTCACTCTCACACTTTCCCAAATGCTTTATCACCTAAGTTCTTTCTCATACTTTCAAATGGTATATAATCCTTTATTGCTATCTTACATTTCCTTTGAACATCGTTTACATTACCTGATATGAAATGTAGATAATGCTGGTCATATCTGAAAAGTTATATTAAGATACTCCACCAAGTTGCAGTTCACCAGACACTGAATTTACATCAGGATGTAAGACAATTACTCACTGATAAGCAATAATCAGCCTCAAGATTATTAGAGTTCTATGTATGGAATCCAGGCAATCAAGCAACAGGTGGCAAGCAGCTTGTCCAAAGTCAAACTTAACTCATTAATCCAGTGCGCCCTTGGCTGGGCACATCAACAATAAGTGATGCCACAAACCCAGCTAACTGAGAGGCAAAATTAGATTTTAGATCTTCAATTGATCCCAAAAAAAGCTGAATAATCTGGAGTAGTTCTATGAGGAAAATCTTGCGACCAAACAGTGTTCGTTACATAGTCCCACTGTCAAGAAAAAACCTACATTCGTATAAGAATACAGTGAATAGTGATAACGAGAAAATACAAATAATTCATCATAACTGAAATGGTTAAACATCTAGAGTTGGACAAGATTGCAGGTATTTTAAGTACGAAAGCACAGTTATGATAATCGGAGCTCTTAACTGATGAAGAATATTTGTCTAATTAAAAAGTACAAATTCCAATAATAAACTAGAGGAAGAAATTCCTAGTCAACATTGAAATTAAAGGAGCTAGATACAAAACCAGATATATTAAAAAGAGAAGTGATATGTGGATTCAAAGTATAATGAGACTAAAAAGAATTAAAGGTTGGGGTCAACTAGAGAAGACTTCTGCGGAAGCTGCATAGTATGGTGAACGGCAAGCTAAAAGTGGGGGAAAAGGGAAAACCATTTTCAATGAACCTTTACGGAAATCCAAAGTAGAAAGATAGCATATGTAACCGACAGATTGCCTTTCATGTGGTGTACTAGGGCAAGCATTTACAAATGCCAACCAATGTGATCATAATTATCTAGTTGCAACAAAGTCAAAAGGAACATGATTACCAGATAAAGCTTCACTAGAATTTGAACCTTACCAATCGTCCGGAAGGAAGTACAAGACACTATTGTCAATGAACACAAACTGGGACAAGAGGATGATTGACATGCAAATTGAAGAGTGCAATGTGTATGTCTATGAAGATGAGAAAACAGGATATAAATTACTTGTGTTCACCTATTCTGCAACCATGTTTGCTAATACCTTACAAAAAATGAGTGAAGAATGGGAAGAAGAGGGAACCAAAGAAGACAATGTACAGAGAGCAATGCTTATATTAGTAGATGGTGAGCAAACATGAATATATCTATACTTACATGTTTTTGAACTAGATTTGCTGAAGTAACTGTAACCCAAAGACTTTCATCCGTCTGCAAGACAATAAGCTTTGGATGATAACATGCAACACCTTTTCTGTTTCGATCTTTTCCAAAGGCTATTACATCTGGGAAAGGGGGATAACTGCAAACAAAAAGAAATAAACATGAAAACCAATTCGAGCTACTAAATAGATATATACTTTTCATCAAAAATGAAATGAACTTAACTAAGCATAGTCATAGAAAGATACATACACCAACAATAGGTTTGGATAATTAAGAAATGGTGCTGGAGTCCTCCTGTCATGGCAAGCACTCCAACATCTTTCTCATATTTTCAAATGGTAAATGATCCTTTATTGCTATCTTACATTTCCTTTGAGCATCCTCTACATTACCTGATAGAATTGCGAGATCATATTAAAATATTTGTGAATGGCTGAGAGATATAACACACCAAGAAACATCACATGTAAATGTTGCAATAAAAACTCGAAGCAGTGTTTTCACTGGATGAAAAAGCTCAGGCAGAGTGACTCCATCACAGTGAACAGATGTGCCAGGACCAATGGGCTTGAGACGGTTCAGAAAGAATGTGCTGCCATCTGAATAACTGACTCCATCACTGGATGGAGTTCACAATTATGAACTTCCATGATTTCAACTGCATTTATGGAGGAGTTTTTGTGCTCAGCACTCAGAACATTCGCATTGGAACTAACCGCCTTTCGTGCAACATTAATCCGCAAATCATCTGTCTTACAGCATCCCTCAGAATCCGGAGAAGCAGGGGATCCAATTTCCAAGGCCAATGGAAGTGTTACATGTTTTTCTTGTTGCAAATCAAGAAAATTCCTCAAGTAGGATACTGGATCGGAGCTGGCAAGTATACTTCTCAGCTAGTTCACCAGAATGAAATGATCTTGGGGCCAAAGGACCGTGCTCCAACGTGGAGAGTGAATGATTCTCACGAACAGCCTTGACCCCAGAGAAAAAGACCCTATCCACGGGAAACCCACGCTTAATTCTACAACTATGACTTGATCCACTTATGCAAGAAAACAACATCTCATCCCCGACTGACAATTCTGCTACCGGGCCTTGCTGGACCCTGCGACCATTAATTTAGACGCCATTGAGGAAAACCCTAGCGTTCGAGCACTACCTTACGGCTTGAAAGCCTCGCCTGATCTCGCGGATATGGGAACGACGGGGAAAAAGGAAGCCATCGATCAAACGGAGTTTACGATCGGATCCATCAAGAAATATCTGGCAATGACGGTTGCTGATGCAGCGGTGGAGGAGGACGAGATCGCAATGGCGGCGCCGCCGGCCGACGGTGTAGACCCGGTCGGATCGCCGGCAGATGAGATCGCCGGCGGATGAGATCGCTGGCGGGTTCCCCGAGGGGTCGAAGGTGAACGAAGCCCAAACTAGAAGGTTGGGATTCGTGCTACGCTCCACAATCGCTGTTGCGCTCATTGCATTCCACGAGAGAAATGAATCAAAGAAGCATAAAGAACGCCAAGATTCATCAGAATAACGAACAGGAATCAAAGAGGACTGAAACAGCAACGGAAACCGATTAAAGAAACAAGAAAATCACCAGAAATTACAAGAAAAGAAAGAATCAATGCGAGGATGGTAGGAAGGCGAGGGGATTGACACAAGAAACCGATGAAGCAGACAAGGAATTGAAAGAATGATGGAACCCTAATTCCCCAAATCAAGAAAGGCACTAGAAATTCCAAGAAAAGAAATATTCAATGTGAGGACGACAGCAAAGAGAGGGGATTGATGCATGAAAAGAACGAAGCAACGGAGGAATTGAAAGAATGATGGAGCCTTAATTCCCGCTCGTCTGGTCTTTGTTGAGGTGCTATCTTGGAAGTTTTGGGCGCGCCTAATGGACGACCGATCGGACCCGAAAGGGACCGGCCTTCTGAGTTATATATACATCGAGCCGCTCGACCACCGACATCGCGACTGATGCAGGACATGGAAACAGCGTCAGCAGCAGACGACCCCGAGCGCGAATCTCAACGCAAATCTGGCAGGCGAAATCTACCTGGACATGTTTTGGACGATCGATTGCGTTGTCGGGTGGAGTTATTCTATGGCGAGTCGGGTTCTCCATTCGGGTCAAGCATTTCGCTCCTCGAGGGTACAATCGGGGCTCGAACAGGCAGCCATGGATCAGCCATGCCCTGACAAAGCTGACCTGACTCATCTCGCACGCCAGATGAGGTTGGACCTGACCCGACATGTGCTCTTGGACTCTTAGTAGCTCATCACAATCGAACTCGATCTACTGCAAGTCCCTAACACGATTAGTACATCGCCCTGCTATTAACTCGATCTACTGTCGGAATCGTGTGTAAACATCAACGGAAGAAACATTTTTCACCATCACGGAGCCAAACTAACTTACAAATTTGATGCAATTGTTTGTATTGTCAAGTAATTGGGCTCAATCGTTTTGTGGATGTATCAGAATAGTACTAATGATTTATCAGAATTTGCCTTGTTCCCTCAAAGTCACTTGTCGCTCGCACCTCGCTGCGGAAAACCACAGCCAGAGATGTAATATGTGAGCCCACAGTGGCAAGGCGAACCACGACCAATCAATGATACTTCAGGCTCCAAGCTGTGTTGTCATTGCAGCCCTACACTGCATGATGTGATGGAGGAGGCGGGCTCGCAGCCATACATTGCAGGATGGGCTATCCAAAATCTCATCTCTTCTCCTCCTCCGCTCGATCACCCACTGCGTCCACGCACCACAAACTTCCCTCCTCTTATCTTCCCCTTCTTATAAGCTCCCCTGTTTCACTTCTGCTGCTGCCGCTTCCCATCCTCTCACAGGCATGGCCTCGGCGACGCTCACGGCGGCCAATGCCTGTCTTCAGGTTCTCCTTTCCTACCGCTCTCACTTAAAAGAATTCAAATTGCAGATTAGTTCCAGCTTCTGAGAGCTCTTACATGTTGCATCTGTGGCGGCAGGGCAAGGGATTCTCGGACTTCTCGGGACTAAGGAGTGCTTCCTCTTCGATTCCCTTGAGAAGGATCAACTCCTCCGATGACTTCCTTTCCGTCGTCGCTTTTAGAACCTCAGCGGTGAGCTATTTTTCTCTTGCACTTCCTCGCATGTTTCCTGCACGGCTTAACTACTACTTCTTAGTTTTCAACATATCGTCCAGTGAATTCAATTTGAAGTGACGATTGCCATGGTGGATAGTAAAATCGTCAGTATCACCGATTGTTCTAATGAGTTTCTACCTCACTGTATATCTCATGTAAGAAGATGCAACCTTTAGGGAATGCCTGTGTTAAGGTATCGAACATAGCGTAAGAGCGATGCTTCACGTACAGAACTGTAAGTCCCAATTAGAGGATGTGGGGCATGTCACCCGGGCACGAGCGGGTTTGGAGTTGGAGAATGTGCACTACTTGGGACCCGAATCCGAAATCGAGTCAGTACAAGAAAGCATTGATCAGACAAGTAGTATATATAAAATATATAATAATTCTGGCGTACGATTGTATCTTAATGTTAATTTATGCAGTGTTATAGGATATGTCGATGATTGTAGGATATGGAATAATTTATTAGTAATTGCCACATAATTTATACATTTGGTCCAAATCTTGGGCTGCTTCAGTCGTTTAATTTGTTCTTCTTTCCCGGCGGGAAGCCTGACGAAATGATTATGGGTTTCTCTGGTGGTGGTGGTGGTGGTGGCGGCGCCGCAGGTGGGCAGCAGCGGAGGGTACCGGAAGGGCGCGGCGGAGGCGAAGGTAAAGGTGGCCATCAACGGGTTCGGCCGCATCGGGCGCAACTTCCTGCGGTGCTGGCACGGGCGCAAGGACTCGCCCCTGGACGTGGTGGCCATCAACGACACCGGAGGCGTCAAGCAGGCCTCCCACCTCCTCAAGTACGACTCCACCCTCGGCATCTTCGAAGCCAACGTCAAGCCCGAGGGTGACTCCGCCATCTCGGTCGACGGCAAGGTCATCAAGGTCGTCTCCAACCGCAACCCCGCCAACCTTCCGTGGGGGTATGTTCACGTCCCTTCCTCTCACTGCGTGCATGCTCATTCGTAGATCGTTGCAGTAAGTCAATACTGTTGGCGTTGTCTCTGACTCTCGTGTGTGTGCAGCGAGTTGGGAATAGATTTGGTGATCGAAGGGACGGGGGTGTTCGTGGACAGGGAGGGAGCAGGGAAGCACATCCAGGCCGGCGCCAAGAAGGTGCTCATCACCGCCCCGGGCAAAGGTGACATCCCCACCTACGTGGTGGGCGTCAACGAGGATGCGTACAACCCCGATGAGCCCATCATCAGCAACGCCTCCTGCACCACCAACTGCCTCGCCCCCTTCGTCAAGATCCTTGACCAGAAGTTTGGTGAGCCTTTCATCTTTGCTCTGCTAGCCTGCTATTACGAGATGCCATGACCTCTGTTTACAGTTGCATCATGTCTTTGTTTACAGTTGGATCCGAGGTTGAAACTATAAGAGGTCTTTTTAGTTTCTTCGAGTAGTATAATAATGACAGAAAACTTCCATTAATTCATTTCTATCATGAAAGGTGTCCTGTTCGTGTTTAAAGCATAGCCTGCTTTTGCTTCTTCTAAGAAACCTGCTCGTCATTCCGCTACATACCTTTCTTTATGATGAGATGCAACCTTTGGTCCAAGAATTAGAAGCTTTGTAGTTATATTTCTACCGATTTGTTCCTTTAGAGAGGTTATGTGCTTTTGAATCCATTGGATGTATGCTTCTTGAAGATATTGCGTATTTGTTTCTTCTGCATTGCTCTGCACCTTCTGCTGTCACACTCACATTCCCACAAAAGATGATACAGGGGATGGACACTAGAAATTTGAACTCTTCAAATTTTGAGTGTACAGAGGAACTTCTTAAAACATTCTTTCGGGAGCATTAAATTCATTGCATCACATGAAACCATAAATCCCATATTAGATTAACTGATGAACTACAATTACTTAATGCCACTACTGTTTTTGGGGCCCCTTTTTTTTGGGCAGGTGAGCTACTGTTTCCTCTGAAGACACTCCTAAATTTTCTGTATAGATTAGGAATGGATTTCTTAGTTGTGATGTTAGGAAAGGATGGAGATAGGTCTGCTCACTAGGGGATAAATGAAATGGCTCATTTCCAGTGGGCAATGGTCTCATCAGTTAAAGACAATATGACAAAAAAAGACATTGTGATATCTCCATAACGAATCTTAAAGCTGTCAAAGACAAACACAATCAAGCATCTTGCAGAACATGTTCTGATTACTTACTACATTTCTGTTGTTATCAAGTTAAACTTGACCCTTTGCAGCTCGCTGAACATTGGAATGGAGAAGAGATGTCAAATAACTATGTTTATAGCTTATAAAACTTTGTTCAATTCTGCATGAGCATCAGGTAAGCTTCCATTAATGCCACTACACCAAGCATAGGACGATGCTAGTTGTACAAGACTCATGGTTCATATTTCTTGTCTATCAGAAATGTCATATAGGAACTTCTTCATGCCCTCTAAGATCTTAATAGAAGATAGGTAATTGTCACTCGACGAATTCATGCAGTAGTGCATTTGAGATTGACAGATACAGTATTGATCGACTCTCATGGTCTACTCATGCTTGTGCTAATTATATTGGGCTTCGTGTTTTGTGATCTTCATAGGGTATATTATGTGGTTTCAAATGTGGGATTCATGATTGCTGTTTTGAGTTTTCATGATGATATATAATAGCTAACTTATGAGATGTGCTATCGTTAGCTTTTCTTGTTGCATGGGAACGTAACATGGTTTCTGCCATCCAAACCCATGACAGGAATCATCAAGGGAACCATGACCACCACTCACTCCTACACCGGGGACCAAAGGCTGCTTGATGCGAGCCACCGCGACCTCCGTCGTGCGCGAGCCGCTGCGCTCAACATAGTCCCCACCTCCACCGGCGCCGCGAAGGCCGTCGCCCTGGTTCTCCCCTCCCTCAAGGGCAAACTCAACGGAATCGCCCTCCGTGTGCCCACCCCTAACGTCTCGGTCGTCGACCTTGTTGTGCAAGTATCCAAGAAGACCTTCGCCGAGGAGGTCAATGCCGCGTTCCGAGATGCTGCCGACAAAGAACTGAAGGGCATCCTCTCCGTCTGCGACGAGCCTCTTGTCTCCGTGGACTTCCGCTGCAGCGATGTATCGTCGACCGTCGATTCGTCGCTGACCATGGTGATGGGCGACGACATGGTCAAGGTGATTGCTTGGTATGACAACGAGTGGGGCTACTCGCAGAGGGTTGTAGATTTGGCTGACATCGTAGCCAACCAGTGGAAATGATCGGGGCGCATCAGAATGGACGATTAAGTTGCCAGCTTTTTGCTTCTACTAGATTTCCTGCTTTCCCAAACACTGTGATGAGAAAGAAATCCATCTCTTTTCGTTCTTTCAGTATATTATCCTTGTACAACTCCACCTCCGCTCTCAGTAATCTGTATCACATAAACTCATCACCCATCATGGAACTGTAATGGGCTATCTCGGCTTTGAAAGTCCATGTCATGTTCTATGTGCTGCATTCAGTTTTATCTTTTATAGCTTGTTTCTCAGTCTCTTACAGGATCGATTTCGAAGTAGACTTTCTTCGATTACCAAAAGGAGCCTAATGATTCTCTATAAAAACTTCCTCCTAAAATGTCCTCTATATATACATTTGGGGGTATAGATGCCATGATTCGACATCGATAAGTAAAGAGTTCAATGTTGATGTTAGATGATTGCTTTTGATTTGATTAGGGAGATTATCCTACATGCAGCCGATCCCATCATAATCATCTTTGTCGTCAAATGCATGCATCCACAGGTTTACCAGATCGTGTGGAATGAACCAAACGAATACAGACTTGCTTGATGCTACCAGCATTTTCTGACACAAGGCCACATATCACCGAACATTGAGCGAAGTCAAAAGCAGGAACCTAACATTCCTCTGAATCAGATAGCAGTTTGAGATAGGTCAAAGCCAACCATGTAGTTAATGGGTGGACGAGCTGACTTGATCCTTTCTTACTGGCAACAATGGTCAGGCATTGCGGCATCACAAAGACTCAAAGTCAGGCAAAATTTTCAGCCTGTCTGACTTCCCAGCTCCTTGGGTCTCACTAGTGTTCTCTTCTGACTCTTTCCACTGGTCTTCTGCCTAGTTTCAGAGCTGCGGCTCTTGCCGCTACATTGCCTCTCCTCTGGAAACACTCCGTTCCTGGTCCATCATAAAGATTCACGAATCTCGACGATTAGCATTGCCTAGCAATTCAAAGGTCAACGTTCAAGCTTCCTTGTGTTTCTCCTGCTCTGTCATACCATATATACAAATCACTATCAATTTCTGAAAGGTAGCAGTAGGCATGCAGTCTTATAGGACTTTTCACAGGTATTGGCTGGATTTCTCACAGGAATGGAACAATAAATGGCCTTCCTTTACTGCTTCAACGTTGCCAAGATTACGACACCTTGCGACTCAAATCTGTTCAGAACGCGTCATGTACAAATGGTTTGCATCTGGAAAAACATGGGGTCTCAGATTGCAGTCAGTGCCGTGGTTTCTATGTTGGTTAACAAACTGTACAAGTAAGAGAGATGTAATAATCAGTTCTACAAACTTTCTGCATCAGATGGTGCACTGATTCAGAAACATCTTCTTTCTACCGTAACCTCAATCAGAGGGATCATAAACTGGTGAAAGTTGACTCCGATCCATCTCCGGGTAAAACTAGAATTCATAGCAAAAGGAAACATATCACATTCAGCGAAATAATTTGCTGTTGACTATGCACTGCATAACTCCATTTCTGTTTGCATCCGGCACCGGGAACCCACCCCACTGTACACCATTGACACCTCTGCATCACTGGAATTTATTGTAGGAGCCACCATGGACCATCTCGTCCTACACATACATCCACCCTCCTCATGTCCTGTCTACAATGGTGACCTCGGAGGTGGTCCTTGGCATCAGCCTTTCATGAAGGCAGCCTATTTATTGCAGTCTAATCGACAGCACGTCTGCGCATCTTTCCAACTGTTGTGGGCTGTGGCGGTCCTCTCCGCTCTCTCAGACGTCCGTCCAACTCCTCCAACGCTGCAGCTTCCGCCCCTGGCTATCGTCCAAATGACCCTCTATAGGTAGCACGTCTCTACCGGGACGAGCTTGCATGCCATCATATTTTAATCCAGTGACCAGTCTCCATCAGTGTTTTCTCCCTTGCTCACTGGCCTTGTATGAAGTTTACCACTGCCTCCCTTTCTCCTCTTGTGCTGATAGGACGAAGTTTCACAAGATTAAGGGTCAATGAGAAGTACTCGTGTATAGGAATTACAATTTGCAGGATGGAACACGGGATAGGACGTAGTTTGGTCCCGACTGTGATGCATTTATTCTCTGGAGAAAAAGTAAATGTCCATGAGAAAGAACACATCGATGAGGCCAGAAGTCCGGCTGATTGAACGCTCAGAAACTCAAGGACATATGGCTTCTGCTGCATGATAATTATTCATGAGGGAGACGGATGTGTTTGATACGTATGCACACTGTTCTCACTACAGCCACGTAATAGAAAAAAAGAGTACGAAAAGGCTCTATCACATGCATGCATTGAATCCCATAGCAATCAAATACAGCCCGCCCATCTTTTTGTTTCTTTTTCTCTCTCTTCTTTAGCGAAAGATGGAAACGATGAGCAGAAAAGAAAATTTATGTAATGGATGTTCTCAACCTAGTCCCCCTCTCACTACAGTTGATGTCATCTTCCACATTCCCATGCACCGTCCATGGCTTCGTATTAAACCCCAGTTGGTGTCACACTGCATCAACCAACTGCTAAGAGTAGATAGACTCCAGGAAACATAGATATTCTCTCTCTCTCTCTCTCTCTCTCTCTTGTTAGAAGATTTTCCATCACATAAAGTCTAGTTTGGGTGCTGCAAGAACTTTTAAAAGAGCCCTGTAATGCCCGTAAAGGAAGCTGCCTTGAAGAGACGAAACAGAGCAAGCTTGCCTCCCCAAACAAGTGTCTGCTCTTAAAATAATAGGAGAAAGGACGTCCCACGCACCAAGGCAAGTAAACACTCACAGACTTTGGGAGGGGAAGAAAAGGTGGACCTTTTTCTATTGACAAGGTTGTGAGATTCGAGGGAGACCTCTTGCATTAGTTTTTGGAGGCTTCTTGGTAGCGGATAGCGGTACCCAACTGTAGCGAAGGGGAGGCGATAAAGAAACCCAGCAGCACTCCGGCCTAAGCTTCAATGGCCAGAAACCTGAGGCAAAGCTACAGGACATAGAGCTGGACAGGTCAACTGATATCCACGTTCAAACAACCTCAGCCGAACCCCCGTGGACCCCCACCACCATGCTTGAACACCACAGGAAGCCAAGGGTTTCGATGAGCATTCAGTACCCCCACCCACTGAGTGCAGGAAAACCTGTTCATCTGTCTTCTTCTCAAGGCGTTTTCCATTCCCCATGCAACTTAGGGCTCCATTCACTCGCTCAGCGTGGGTCAATTACCACCACCTGTTAAGCCAAGGAAACGGCCAGAAGAGTGTCGGACGAAAGCAAAGTGCTGCTTTAATATATTGTCACGAGGACACCGAGATATGGGTGACAACCATATATGCCTTTTCCCTTCATCTTCTCCACCGAACCCAAGACCGAGAGGACGAAGAGTTGGTGGGCTTAATGGGATGGAGTGGGTTTTAGCTTTCACCACTTCACATGCCATGGGGCATTACTCTAGTGGAAAATGACATAATGCATGCATATGGTTGGGCGAAAGAAACATGTATCGGTAGTCTAAAGCAAGGCATGTGAGAGCTTTGCCGGTGGCATCTGATGCCATAAATGTGATGCACATCACTTTTCCTTTTGTCCTGCTCCATAGCCTTCAAGCTTAGCCGAGAAAAAAAAAATTAAAAGGAACAAAGAAGAGACGAGCAAAAGAAAAAGAAAATGTTCCAAGCCATGGAAGGTTTCCACAGACGCTTTATTATCTCTCTGCTCTGCACCCTCTGCGGCCACTTTGATACAGTGTTTCAAAAATGGTTCTGTAGGGCGATTGCCTGCAACTTTACGTCGAACTTTTCTCAGTGCTCAGAACAAGGTTGAATGATACAGTCCAAAACTATCCAATATCGGCACCACTGCATACAACTTCTGAGGCGCTGATTGAACCCCATGTAGTACTAATTGCCAACACGATTCAGGACCTCTGTACGTCGGTAAACGTAGACGAGGACAATCGACCTGTGAGTTCAAGCATGTACGAAATTTTCACGTCCAGTACATGGTATTAATTGTGCTTGGAAGAAGGCAATCGCACATGGCGCGTGAAGAACAACCAGCCCAAGTTGCGTACCCCATCATGTCACATGCATCTCCCGCGGTTGCTTTTATTTCCGCTGCTTCATGCACCAGTAGCTACTAATGGTAACTGTTCATGTCGACCACTGCTTCTCATCCGGATGAATAGAGATCGTTCCCAGGGTTAGACGATGAACAGTGTGGTCTCGCAGTAAAACTCCGGGGGGTAGGAGATCAAGGTGAATCGATCCTACAACTCGGATGCAGGAGACGAACTCGTACCCACATGCTGCACAGTTAAATACTTCGAATATGGTGTCTCTACGATGGTATATTCATATATATGTAATCATCTAGCTTTGACCAGATTCATCGCAATCAAATGCGCTTCCCGATGAATATGTATGAAGCGTTAGCAACGAGCGGAAACGTCATTGAAGCTCCTGCAGATGTCGCAGGCATCAAACCTCGGGGCTCATTCTGGATTTGTAAGTCAAATATATCTATGTATGTATAATATTATATATATCCTATAGAATGACTCAAGATTACCATGGAGAATTCATGAGACCTCTTCCACCAAACAAACAATCCGATCACCAAATTCATGAGATCCTCCCTCCACCAAATGCCCCCACCCGAAACCTAAAAGCAAAAGAGGAAGTGATAATGGCACCACGGTGCGGAAATAATGGATGGCATGAGATAAAAGGAAGTCTCCCCATGAAACACCACCCAACACCTTCTTCCTTGGTTGTCTCAAACAAAATTAGTGGCGGAGTGCAGTGCATCCCATCTGTCGGCCTGCACGGCTTAGCCATGACACTAAGCATCCATTAACTCCTGACCAAATCACATGAGGCGGCATCATATAATACAACCAGAATACTGCCACTTTTGGTGTTTCCCCCCATGTCATTATTCTCTGCTATAAAGCCTATATAATAATGGAGCATATCCTGAACCCACCATCCATTACTTGTCTATAGTACACAGTCCGTGACGGGCCCCACGAGATCTTTCCCTTTCCCTTGTGTGCCCTGCCCCACCCCCGTGGCCCTCTTTATTAGGGTCATCTAAACGACAATAATAATTATCGACATATAACAATCTTGCTGCAGTCTTCAAATAAATCTCCATAAAAACACCGTAATCGGATACCCAACAGCTGGAGAGGCTAAAAGAATCCTCCTACAGCAAAGAAAGGGTTCGCTCGGAAGAGATCCCTTCAAATCCCAAATTTGAAGGCAGAGACACAAATGCATCATGAGCTAATTTTGTGATAAGAAAACCACAGAACATAAATGCTTTAAATCTAGAAAATCTTTAGCAAGAAATAAATGTGCAGGTCTTACAAAGAGAAGTCCATACATAACAGGACTCATAAAAGGGACCGAAACGGACGGCCGAGATTTTCACGACATCGCGATCTGAAGGCACGCGTTCTTAGCGGAACCACACGCTGGACACGCGTCTATCATTGACTCGCAGATCTTGCATAAGCAAAGGTGCCTGCAGGGGAGCAGCAGAACGCACACGTCCCTTTCGCCGCACGACCTGCACGCCGCCCACGGTCGCCGGCGGACCTCCTCCGCCTCCGTCGCCGGCGACGAAGCGTGCCTCCTATCCGCCACCGCCGAACGGCATGACTGGGCATCGTCGTCGGTGTCGCCGTAGCCCTCCTTGACCTGGGCGGTCGCGGCGTTGTGGAGGAGGACCTGCTCGAGATTAGCCCGCAGGCTGGCGGCGACGGACTCGTTGTTTTTGGCAACACCGAACCACAGCTCTGTCTCCGCGGTCAGCTGGCGCACCGTCTCCTCCAGCTCCGCGTTCAACCGCCGCGCCTTCTCCAGCTCCGCCTCCTTCTCCCTCAGCCTCTTCGCCACCCGCTGCTCCACGCACCATAGCAGCGCCTTACAATGCCTATTCCGCACCTCCTCCAGCCCACTCCGCAGTCGTTCCCTCTTCAAAGGGATATAGATATTGATGATTTTGGCACCGAAAAAGACAAAGAACAAACAAAAGTACTTGCAGAGACGGAAAATAAGAGGATAAGCTAGTCGTAATACCTGAAGGCGGATGAGTTCATCGATCTCGGCATTCTGGTAAGAGAGATGGGAGACGAGATCTTGGGTGAGAGGGGACGCGGGCCGACCGCTGGTGGAGGTACCGCCGGAATCGAGCAGGCGGGTCTGATGACAGCCGGGGGCGGATAAGGCGGCAGCAACAGCCCTCTCCGGGACAGCTGTTACCGTCGCGAGGTTAGGGTAGCAGAACGGCGGCAAGACGGACTCGAGGTTAGATTGCAGCACCACCGCGGGCGGCTCTTCCCGCGCCCGCTTCCTCGTCCCGGAGGCAAAGCATGTAAGCTCGCTCTGGGGATCACTGAACACGGTGGCATTGTTAACGCCACCGAGGTGGGTGCTGTACCGGCCCAACATATCGTGATGTTCCAGCAGCATCTGGAGGTCTTCCATTACATTGTTCCCGGTCCTGCATATATATTGAAGCAAGGAACCAAGGTAAGTAATAGTACGGAGAAAAGAAACTGAAACCGAAACGCTTGGAATTATATGATCGACGCAATTACGTAATAAGCCTTCCTAAACTGAGCAGAGGTACACAGGATGCAGGATATGGAATCCCATGCGACAAGGAATGAATCGCTCGATAGCAAGTAAAAGTGGGAAGGCAAGGTTGGCTCACCGGCCGCGGAAATCCGGGGAGAAAGCAAAATTGGAGGGATACTGCGCTTGCACGGCCATGATCTTTTCTGTACGTGGTCGATCCAAATCAGGCTCCCACCACCACCACTAGGTTATGCCTCGCCGCTGCTATAAGCTGTAGATAGCGGAGGAGGAGGACAGATTCAGTCGCGAGCGAGAGAGAGAGAGAGAGAGAGAGAGAGAGAGAGAGGGGGGGGGGGGGGGGGGGGGGAAGGAAAAATATGAAAAAGGAGAGGGAGAAATGGGGTAAGGGAAGGGGGGGGGGGGCCCTATTTTTACCCCCCCCAGACGAGAGAAAAAGGG